AGCCCCTTCGTTGCGCCATGCGGCTCGCACACAGGCCGGCACCCGCTGGTATGGGGAGTTGTACATCTGCATCCTCTGCTTGACCACTTGGGGCAGACGGCAGCAGCAAGCGACGGTGTCCAGCGGCCAAGCCACCGAGGAGAGAAGCAGAGAGAAAGGATAAGAACAGGGCTCGGGAGCCCCGGTTTCTAGTCTCACCGGCGTCAGAGACCACTGACAAGACAGACCAGGGAACTCCCAGGTCAAGGTCTGTGACTCCCAGCGTCCCCACGCCCTGCCATGAATCTAGCTAGCACAGCTCTCGGAAGGGTGCCAGCCACTTCACCTATTAGCACGTGGCAGCACACCCAAGGGCTACATCTGCACTGAGCTCAGCGCCCTGCAGCCACATCCGGCCCTCCCTTGGTACAGAGCCCACATCGCTCTCAGCACCTGGGCACATCCCTGCATCTCTACAGAATGTCCCCAAGGGTTTCACTAGCTCAGCCAGCAGACACACAGGCTCAGTACAGCCCCAGCCCGGATGGCCCCCAGGTGGAAGAGAGCCAAGGTCCAACTCCACACAGCAGAACAGACCCGACTCGGATGGCGACTAGGGGGCTCAGGAGGCAGGATGCATGTGGCTGGGACACCAGGCCAAACCCAGTGCCCTGCAGAAAGGGCCAGAGCACACCTTGGTGCTCACCCTGTGCTGCACGCCACCACGGGGTGGAAATAGCGTCTCCTGAGCCCAAAGCCCTGCCTGGCCTTGGGGGGAGTAGCCACGCAGTGGGCAAGCCCAGCACTAAGGCTGCTAGTCTGCACCTTGGGAAGCTGCCTCCCTGCCAAGGGGACGTGGCTTTGAGGGAAGATGCTCTCCCAGCACTCTCGCTTTCTGCCTTGCTGGCAGCCTCAGCACAGGTGCCCCCTGGTGAAAACTGTCCTCCCCACAAACCAGATCCCTGGTGATCTGAACTCAGATCCATTAGCTAGAGCTGTTGCTTTCTCTGCCCAGCCTCAAGACAAGTCCCTGGGGAGGGGGGGGGGAGGGCTGCCTCCCTCCCCCTCCTCCCCCAGATCCC